CTTGATATTCAGAAAATTAGCAGCCTGTTAAACAGCATAAAGAAGAAATTTAGCATACAAAGAAGATTTAGATCAGTATCAAGGATCAGAAAAGATTTTCAACATTTGCCTAATCTCAACATTTCACGAATGAGCAAAGATTTTTCGACACATTGATTTACTTCAATGCATTCAAATATCCAATTATTCACCTAATCAACCTTTTAATTAACAGTACATAACCAAGAGCAAGCCAAAGTTCAAAATTAACTTAGAAGTATCATATGTGCACATTCTAAGAAACCCAAATACCCCAAAACGTCCAAAATTGATACACCCATGGTGAGCAGTTGAATTAAAAAGAGAAACCATTACATCAGGACACACAACAAAACGCAGCACAACGGAAACACAATGTTCAACAAGACAACAAATTGCATATTACACCAGCCAAATTAAAAAATAGAACTTTTGTCAATTAGAGTACAAAAATAGAAACTTTTGCCAATTAGAGTATACCAAAAACGCAGAATATGCAGTTTTTAAAATAAAGGCACAAACCACATATTTAGAATTTAGGATTTTGAATATAATCACAAATCTTTCTGATATGGATAGAAACAGAACACGACAAAATAGTGAACAACCATTGAATTCAAAACCAAAAAAGGGTAATCCCTTTGAATTTCGAAACCAAACAAAACAATGGCAATCCAGCAAAATAAAAATAAATAAGAGGCAAAAGTAGTATAAAAGAGGTACGAACCAGGATCAGATCAAAGAGGGTGCGCTGCTCAACCTTGACGAATTCGGCATCCCAAGCCTTGAGTTCGTCGTCGCCCGCCTTGTCCTTGTCGGCATCACCGTCGACGTGCTTCTTGCAATACTCCAAAACCTTGGAGAGGATCTTGCCGGTGACATTAGGAAGGGGGATGACGCTATCCGCACAGCCATCCTCGATCATGTGGTTGATCGTCTGTGACATCACGGCCACCGCTTCCTCCACCTCGAAGGTCTCTCCATCGGAACTCTTCAACGTGATCTTCTTCGATGTTGATGCCATTGCGCAAAATCGTGGGGGAAAATCTTTAATTGAGGAAAGAATTTGAAACCCTAACCCTAGGTGAGAGAGTGGATAAAAAGATGGGGAACGAGGTCGATGCGACGGTATATTTATAGTGTTGTCGTGACTGTCAACTTTTACTCGGACTTGGATAACCCTTTATTTTTTATTTTTTTTCAAATTGAACATGAAAAATTACATTAGAATGAAAAATTTTCAAACAATTTATAAAAATTGAATTTTTAATTAATTTAATTTAAATACTTAATGTTTGGAAACGAATTATTAAATCAAAATCCCTGATTTTGGATAAACTCCTTATTGTTGAATCTCCTCTACGAGGTTGCACCCACTTTATCCTTGTTTCTTGCGTACTATAAGTACTAGCTTTTATTTCCATAAAAAAGAAGAAGCACTTCTTTTATTTCCATAAAGAAAAAGAAGTATTTACTTTTATTTCCATCAAGAAAAAAAGTACTTATTTTTATTTCCATAAAAAAAAAAAGAAAAGAAGTACTTACTTTTACTTTTCTTTTGTTTTTTTTTTAACAACAGGAATTTGTAGAGGAAGGGAAGTAGGGTTTGAGATTTGAATTAACAACATTATATCTATCACACTCATTCAACGATGTGGTCATTAAGCCACCAAAGGTTGGACGAAAAAATATTTACTTTTATCTTGGTATTTAAAAATATTTAATTATGATCACGTTTGCTATAAAATTAATAAGATACATAGGTTGCTTTTGATCTCAATAGCCACTTTTTGGCGATTTTTTTTTTTTGAAAGTTATTAGTTAAAATAATGTATGAAAAATTATTATATTTTTTAATAAAATTTTATTAGGTGGTTAATTTTGTTGTATTTTATAAAAGAATTGACATAAGTAAGTTTCATAGAAAAAAATAAAAAATTTACAAATAAAAATTTACAGATTAAAAATTATATCACAAAAAAATAAATATTAAAATATCACATTTACTATTTATTCACTATAATTTTCAGATATATAAGTATTAAAATACTCTTATAAAATCCAAAAAAAAAAAATTTCCTCAAAAAGTAAACCAAACACCTCCATAGAGTCAATTTTATCCGAGTCTAATTGAAATATAGAGTAGATGTCATATAAGTCTCATTCATTGTGAGATTAAGAGTGAACATGCGTATATAATAATAATAATAATAATAATAATAATTTAAGCATAACATATAATATCATTATTCTTATAACTAAAAATCTCCTTTGCCTTTTCCTCAAACAAAGA